AGCTCAAACTAGAAGCTCCGCCTTCAGCGTGAGCTCGCTGGCTCCCGCAGTGCTTTGGTAGCGCGTGCCTGCACGGTCACACTTGCGTTAGCAAGGGCAGAAAGCTCGCTGTGAAGGTCGAGATTCTAGTTTCAGCTTAAGGGGGAACGGAGTATAATACTCTGTTGTCTTTAACGTGCACCATGCAGTAGTGATACACGACCGCACTCCGGTACGATGCTCATCCAAACAAACGGGCAGGGATGAAGATTGAATCCAGGATCCCTGGGTTCTGCAGCGCGAGCTTTAGCTCCACGCGCTCCGAGCTTCTGTGTGCTAGCCCACTTGGCCACCAATCCTCCTCGCGAATCACCAGGGCTCCCGTGTTTCATATGAAGCATAGTAACCAGCTCAAGAAGTGGCTTTGCACGTGACTTTCGGAGCACCGATGTCTGAGTAACTTATAACTTAACGTAAAAAACAAACAAACAAGAAGTTAAGCAATCAACATTAGGAGATATTCACTGGACGCCATATTTGAGGGCGATATTTAGAGCGCATGCTCAGAACGAGCTCAGATTTATAGCCTGCTAAGACCGGCAACCTTGATGGTGCTAAATGCACGCTCCAAAAGGACTGCGGAAGCTCGCCCTCAGACCGCGCTCAGCAGCAGCGCACACGGATATGGCCGCCAGTGAATCCGTGACTGCAGCCAAAGCTACAAGTTTGAGCTGGTCAGCGCTCCTTGCTTTCAAAGTTGCATTTCTAGCGCGAGCGCTTGTTCTGCGGAGGAACGTTTCAGAGCCGCGGCATCATGCTCTGCATGTGGCATTGGCTGCAGTCTCAGGTTATGCGTGAACGGGATGTAGTGATGGTTGAGTCTGGTTTGAGGAGCTCGAGCGAAAATCTTCGAATATCGTCCAGTGTCGTAAACCCATAAATACTCGAAGAAATTGGGAACGTATAAACTTTCACGTGAACGTCTGCGGAGAGCATGTCGCGGCTATCTACGGAGGGAGCCCGGTGAATGACAATGTTGATGTGTTCAGACCTAAAAGAAAATGGTTTGCGCAGGAACACTGACCATAACTTTTTAACCATGCACCATAACATTGCGTACGCTGTTTTATATATATATATATATATGTGCACTTTTTACCTTGGCATTCACCAAGTTCCGTAAATATTGGCTCTGGCAAATGTTTGTGGAAAAGAAAGTGCTCCAGATATCTTCAAAGTGTATGAACGTCGCGTGTAGTAAGAACATGAAGCTTTTTCGAAAATTCAAATTCAATACCCCCGCCCAGTGAATGCCTCGGCATTCACTGGGCGGGGTAAGCCGGCGGTGTGTGTGCGCTCGTTGCAAAAGAGGAGGGGCTAGGTAATCTTAGCTGAAAGTGCTGGCAATTGATCCGAGGCCTGTTCGAAGCACTCGCAGACAAATGCCGACAAGTGTGAAACTGGGATACATTTATAGATGGAAATAATTGGTCTTCCCGCTACTCTGTAGTTAAGAAGACACGCTGGCTTTGTTTCGTACGGTGGTCGACCTAGATTCGTGGGAATACGGAACTTTTCGGCACGATAACTTGCTTCTGTATCATTAGAGGCGTGTGGTTCGTACAAGTGCACAGTACCGTTCAATGTTGCAGAAAGTTTTTACTTGAACCTCTCGGACTATTTTGTCGTGCGCACGCTCCTGCTCAAAAAAAAAAAATCTTTTTGCAGAGTTATACAGTTTTGCCTGTTTGCTTTTTGTGACCGCTGCACGCATCTTTAAGATGGAGCGTACTTCGATCCTCTCTTCGATGATTCGTTTTGTGCGTGACTCTGACCTCACTCACGAAAAATGCGAGCCGATGTTCATCGACCCGACAATGCGTCGAACGAAAGATTGAAAAGTTTTCAACACGCGAAATATTTCGAGCGTTCTGAACAATGTCGTAAAAGGAGCGAACGCTTCCGCACGGACTTGAAAGCATCTTTCTCGCACAAAGTTTTCTCGAGCGAGAATAGCGCCTTTCGAAAAAGTGTATTGCGTGTTTGTTTACACAGAAGGAAGTTAGGCAGGCCAATGACTTCACTGCGTATGAGATATTTAGCCAGTGGTGGTATACCACTGCTAGCCTGCAGTCTTTACCGCGCATCACGCAGTAGGGATAAACGACCGCACGCCGGTACGATGCCCGTCCCAATCAAAACTGGGGATTGAATATGTAAGGCCCTGAAGATCGCGCTTTTGCTCCACGTGTCGGTCGGCCACCGATCCCACTCACCTTTCGAGGTAGGATTCTCGTCGTGACTGCGTATAGCGACATGCACGACAAAAAGTGTCGCTGTGGTTGGCCTTTCATGAGTGGAAAAATCTCTTACTATGACGCCATAGTACGATTAATTCTACTTTTCTTAACGGGAGCAATAGGAATGTCGTACTGTCAACTTTCACGGTGTTCGTTTAAGAACGCGATGACTACGAGCTTTCTCCGTGGGTCTTTTACCAGCGCCATCGAAATTGTCGCGGGAAATCCATAATCCTAGTCTTGACGTCACAGATAGGAACCATAAGAGGGATCCATCGAATTGTCTCGTCGCCTACAGGGGCTGAGAGCGCGAGAACGGCCGGGCGTCTCTTTCGGACGTCCAGCATCCAGCACTTGCTCTTTGCGTTCCGTCGTGCTTGGGCTGCTCGCGTGCACATTCGAGGTTCGCAAGACGCAGAAACGTCATTGAAGGTGGGAAGCTTGCGCTGCTGGGGATTAAAGGAGGGGCCCAACTGCCGTCCCCACCCTGCGCACAACCCGTAGTGCCCTAGTCCCACCAGAGTGACAAACAAAAATAACCGACACCGACAAGTCTCAAGAACGTGCAGCGTGCACTCGAAGATACAACGGGGGGACCAAAAGGAACTGTAACTTATTTTTACAAAATTGTGTATTTATTTTTACACGCTCGAATTTCAGGCACCTTAAAAAAACTCTCGAACTGATACAATGCATTGATTGGTCCTGAGGTTTCTTCAAATCGTTAATATAGTATTTAAACTCGTCGATCTCGATGCCTTTCAGTGCTTCTGCCGGGGTTTGTTTCGTATCTTTTTCATCGACAAACCGTGTCCCTTTGAAAACTCTTTAAAAGTGGAAACAAACAAAAAATTCGCATGGAACGAGCTCGAGTGTATAGAAAAGATGGGGCACGAGAATTATGCTGATTTTGGCCAAAAACTGCTGAACACTCAGCGAGGAGTGGGCAGGCGCTTTGTCGTGGTGAACCAACCAGTTTTCAAACAACTCGGGTTGTCATTCCAGCCACACCGCTTTGAGTGTTCAGCAGCTTTTGACTAAAACGGCATGGCCTCGCGTCCCTCCCTCCCTACTCATCCGACCTTACCCCGTGTGCTTTTTTGTTTGTTTTGTTTTCTCGGATGAAAACAGTTCTCACAATAAAACAGGGTGCCGACGTAGAAGAGGTGAAAGGTGTCGTGTTTATCCTCCTTGTCCCCACTCTCCATAGGGTTAAAATGTCTAGCAGCAGAAGCACCGAAAAAATGACGAGTTTAAACGCCATTTTGAGCAATGCAAATATTGTTACGACAAGTGTATTGCATCAAGCTTAGAGCACTGTGAGAGTGATTAAAATTTTAACCTGTAAAAATAAATCCAGGTTTCCTTCAAAATAAATTTCGGTTTTTTTTTAGGGAATCCCCTCGTATCTTTGGCAGTGTTTTCATCACTGGCGGCCATAGCTGTGTGCGCGAATGCTGAGCGCGCGCTGATGGCGAGCTTCCACAGTTCTTTTGCAACGTGCATTCGCACCATCAAGAGTGCCGGTCTTAGCAGCCTATTGATGTGAGCTCGTTCTGAGCATGCGCTCTAAACAGCACCCACAAATATGGCGTCCAGTGAATAGCCCCTATACTTACTTCATGAGCATCAAGGAACTACAAGCCTGTCAAAAAGCACCTTCGCTTGCGGGTTACTCGTGCTTTAGGCTTATCGGTGTAGGTGGTTTTGTTTGTCTTTCTGATGCCCGAACCCCACTGGAGCGAAAAACGAAAAATAAAACCGACAACGACAAGCGTCAGGCACGTGTGGCGTGCACTGGATGATATCTTTGACAGGCTGGCTAGGGTGCCTAGATGTCTGTCTGTCTCAGGGTGAAGACATCCATTGTTGTCCGGAATGTACCAGCGCGTGACGCTCTCGCGCACTCGGTGCGTGACTTGGGCGGTAAGATGGCGTCTATGCATCAGCCAAAGCTACGCGCTCGAGCTGAATGACACCGAATTGCGCGCACTTCAAAATGCATAAAAAAACGATTGGGCGGAAAAATGGCTGAGATGTCACCACTCAAGCAAAAGCGCGCGTGTGTATGAAGGCACTCTAAGGCTGGCACTCTTTCACTGCTCAAGAAAAAGTGTAAAATATCGCAGGCCTGGCATATGAGACTGACCACAAAACCGAACACGGGAAGTTCGAACCTATAAGGAGTAGTCACTGGGCGCCACATTTTGCGGGTGCTGTCTAGAGCGCACGCTCAGAACGAGCCCATATTAATCGGCTGCTAAGACCGGCAATTCTGATGGTGTGGAATGCACGTTGCAAAAGAACCGTGGAAGCTCGCCGTCAGCACGAGCTCAGCAGTCGCGCACACAACTATGGCCGCCAGTGAATACTTCCCGTACAAAGAGTGGCAAAATACACGCGCCTTCGGCGGGTGCTGAGTACGTGCATGATGGAGCAGTACTGAACGTGCCCGATGCCCTCATGACATCACGAGGAGCGCACAATCGTACCCCATGGCAGCTAAAGCTAGGTTACATGCACCCCAGACCTAAAACTAGCAGCAAGTAAGAAGAACGAGATTCTGAGATCTGTCCAGCTTGCCTAATAAACACGAACCAAAGCGTTATTTATGGCTTGTTCGGCTTGCTAGGTGAGGTAATTCAGCTGGCAGAGAACGCATCACCGCCAGGAATGGCTCCTGCGGCAGCAAAGACTTCGCGCAGAGCGCACTTCGTCGGCATACGTACCTTGTGCTGAGAATCCCGTGGTCACGGTGGCGGTTTCTCCGGGGGGAGGCCTTCCACTTTACAGCGGTCGGCTGAGCCCTGCCACTTCCCCAAACGGGGGTAGCTGGAGCATGGAATTTTTGGTAGTGGGGACCGGCACTCGGGCCCGTCCCCTTACAATGCAAACGACAGACAGACAAATCTCTTGAATCCTTGGCGTGCTCCAGAATGCACAAGATATGGCGGAAAACAGGACTACTGTTTTCCGCAGTCGTGCATGTATTCACGGGTCGGTGAAAGCACATTTTCTATTGTACGCATTTTACGCAGCTAGAGACACTAAATGAGCTATACGGTTCAGAGTAGCGAACACTTCAGCCATCTAAGTGCTTAATATCATTGCTGCCAGTTTTCTACGGAGTTTTCTGCAATCACAGGAAACGATTTTCCGTCCTCCAGAACACTAAAAACTGCCCGGGAAAGAGAAAAAAAGAAAATACGTCCTGAGCTTCTTGACACTGTGTATAAAGCACAGGAAGTCCCATTTTCAAATCGTAACCATCGCCATTGCGCCCGCCCTGCACTAAGCACCGAAATGGCAGCTCCCGCTAGAAAATAGGGGAACAAAGCGTCGGTATACCGGCGCTTCGTTCCCCGACTCTTAAGCGTCTTATTTGGATGCTGTAAATGCGACCAAGCGTTGTCTGCATGTAGCCTGCGAGAAAAAAACCATGAGGTTAGTTGCCAGTTGCAAGCCACTCTCGTTCGGTCGCGAATCGTTTTGTATGGTGGTTTCAACGGCGAAAACTGCGTCGTGAAATGATCGGATGTGGAGGACTCAGCGCCGCCAGTGCTCTCTCCTACTGCAATGACAGGTTAGGAACGTTATTGGTTGCTTTCAGAGCAACTGCAAGGACTACAACGACAGGGTTACCGGGACAGCTGTTCACCGTACACAATGTAGCAAGAAATTCAAGAAGTGGCTTCTTGAAGTATATCCCGTGCCACGGGTGTACGGGTGTTCCTTCCATTTCTTGTAGTTTTGTATGCTGCCATACTTCGTTTCAGCTCATGTCCAAACGCAGCCGATGCTACAAGCTTGAGCATGTGGTTCTGAATAGTGCTTGCACTGCACGAGCGCGCGTGTTTGGCAGGGACGCTTAAAGCCCGGAGCCCGCGCTCACACAAGTGAAACGGAGTATAGTTGCAGCGGAAGGGTTTTGGCGGCGCTCTCCTATGGTGTCCTCTCGTGACGTCACTACCTCGTGGACAACAAGTTCGATGGTGTTTGCAATTAGCATGGTGGAAGCTGGGATTCATTCCGCTCTAAACGCAACACTGCCAACACCGTCAAGACTCAAGTTCTCACATTCCTCTTATTTCCGTCGAAGAGAAACCCTTTGCTAACGTCACAGTCAGCATTCGGCCAATCGTGGCAGGCCGACCAGAGCGCCGCTTTTGATCGAGCACGTCACCCATAGGATGCCTTCATATTCGCTTTGCTTAGGGTGCTGACATCAGGGGCCCTACAATGCGCTTTTCGGACTCCCACGGCGAGTAGGGAGACGGAAGTGACGTCTAAAACGCAGCAAACGCAAATTGAATGTTGATTGGTGAAAGTCACTCATGACGAATTTCCGCAAAAGAAAAGAAATGTCACTTCCTTCTCCCTATTCGCCAATGGAGTCCAAAATGCGCAACATAGGGCCCCTGGGCATTTTGTTTCGAACGCTTATTTTAATTATTTGCTTCGGAAGCGCGAGCGCGTCATCACGACCGCCGCGAAAAACAGTGTCTTTTATGATCAGTGCGACAGGGGCTTGGAGATTCGCAGGACATCAGGCACGTCACTCGCTTAAGCCTGATTCACATGGTGCGGGTTCACTCGCGATTTCGCAGTTGCGACGGTGCTAGTTTGGCGAAAAAGAAAACACCGTCGAGGTTACTGTTCCCCGGGTCGCAGTTGCGCAATCGCGAGCAAAATCGCATCATGCGAATCGGGCTTCACTGTTCGTATTTAAAATGTAACATAAACGCGTGCGTGAAAAAGAAGAAGAAAAAAAAAAGGTTTAATTCGACATGCCTCGGGATATGGAGACTCAGGCAACCTCGAGAAATTGCTTGCGATACCCGAAGCGCCATTTGACCGTTTCTTGTGCATAAAAAATGAAAGAGAGAGAAAAAAGAAAAAAAAGAAACGCGTATCTTTTTTTTTTTTTTTTTCATTTTGTCATTTTATTCAAGCGCAAGCCCGGATTCTTTTTTTCGTACCAATGGCGCGTGTCTCGTTGACAATGACATTGGCAATAGAGTCGGCGGCATGGGCATCGTCGCGTGCGATCTGGCACCTGCCGACCATTCTTCCTTTTGGGATTATTCCCTCGGAGTCTTTCGGTTGTTGGCCGGCAGAAAGCCGCATGCCAGTTGGGCGGCCACGCGTGGCCGAGCTCACGAAACGGGAGGGGAAAGAGCTCGCGGTCCCTTTTGTCTTCTGCCTTCCGTTCGACGCCTCAGTGCGCGTGCCGTATGCCCAGCCCCGTTCCTTGGGAGATTGGCTCTGAAATCGGTTCCGACTCGCCGGCCTTGCTCCCAAACACGACAGATATAACAAAACCTGGCTTATTGTGCGCCTTGCACCGGTTGTCGGTCGCGTGTCTTTTTATTATTATTTCGAACCATATTGTATATAAAATGGCTCGTGTCGTCTTTTCTCACATTTTTCGCGCTTTATGTCTGGTTCAGACATTTGCGACCGTTGTGTTCGGAGCAACTATAGAACGACATCAACGACCAAGTGACCAGGAAAAGCGTTGGTCATACAAATAATTGGGGGTTGTGTGGATATTTATACAGCGTGTAGTTGGTCAGCCATTTCAAAGTTGCAACGAGTCACTCGCTGTATAGGGAGTATTCACTGGACGCCGTGTTTGTGGGTGATGTTTAGAGCGCATGCTCAGAACGAGCTCACATCAATAGGCTGCTAAGACCGGCGCTCTTGATGGTGCGGAATGCACTTTGCAAAAGAACTGTGGAAGCTCGCCGAAAGCACGAGCTCAGCAACCACGCACACAGATATGACCGCCAGTCAATAGACGATTGCAAGCTGGGCGACTGGCCGCCGCCATGTCTCTGCTCGAGCAGGCACGCCCGTGCGATTACGTGCTTGCCAAAGCTACGTTCACCCGCGCGTTGCACGCGCTTGCACGCATGGGGCACCACTTGTGGCGCCATGCTTGCAATTCTCTTTATAGGAGGTATTCATTGGACGCCATATTTGAGGGTGATGTTTAGAGCGCATGCTCAGAACGAGTTCACATTAATAGCTTGCTAAGACCGGCAACCTTGATGGTGCTAAACGCACGCTCCAAAAGGACTGCGGAAGCTCGCCGTCAGCACGCGCTCAGCAGCAGCGCACAACGGATATGGCCGCTAGTGAATACTCCCTATGGATGAGCAATTTAGCCAGTGCAGTACAACCGCTAGCCTGGGGGTCTTTAACGTGCATTACGCAGTAGTGATACACGACCGCACGCCGGTACGATGTTCATCCAGATCGAAACGGGCAGGGGAGGAGATTGAACCCAGGATCCCAGGGTTCTGCAGCGCGAGCTTTCGCTCTATGAGCTCCGAGCTGGTGTGCGCTATTATCTCCGAGACGTTTCGGTGTCGCCCTCGTTTGGTTACCTTTCGTGACATCATTATAACCTTCTGAAGAACAAGTTCGATGTTGTTTATAATTAGCATGGTGGAAGCCTGAAATCATAGCGCTCTCGCACTGCCAACACAGTCAAAATTGAAGTTCTTACATTCCTATTATTTCCGTCGATGAGACATCCTTCTCTGACGTCATTGTCAGCATTCGGCCAATTGTGGTGGACCGCCCACAGAGATGCTTTCGATCGCTCACGTGGCGAGCAATGCAAGTAGTACCTAGGCGAAGCAATCGTGAGTCACGGTTGAATTGGCGAATGCGTCGTCGTTGTCAATTCTGGTTGCTGCCGACGCAACCGACGCAAATGTCTGAACCGGAAATTAGGTTCGCGTTGTATTTTTCCTTCGAGACGTTCTCATAGGGTACTACGATGACGGACCGCCCGCCCTATTTTAAAAGATTACATACCGCTTCACTTCTTCAGCCGACGCTCCGGTGCGATAGAGTCAATCAAGCAGAGCCAGAAGTGTATCGTCACAGCGCTCGTTGTCTCCCTGGCTTTGCTCTCACCATGCTAAACTAATCACATTACGCATAAAAAAGAAAAGAAAAAGAGAAACGACGCTGGGTTGCGGCGTATTTACGTTGTGTGACGGCGGGGAGCCGTTCTCTAAGATCATCTCTAAGGCGCGGGACATGCGGGCTGAATGCCCAAATACGTCGTACGAATACCGGGTCGCTTTTCGTTATACGAGATTTTTTTTTTTCCATTTGAAGGTTGTTTTTGTTCATAGATGTGTCCGCTTCTGGGATGCTGATAAACCAGTTGTCAGGAACAATGATGCTCCAGGAACTGTTTATTTAAAGCGTAAGTGCGTCTGTGGCCTGGCTAAATCGCTTTTACATTTTGGGAAAATAAAAAGGCATGAACTACGATGTTCCTACTTCTTTTCACCATTTTTCTTGTCTGCATGCAACGCATGTTCTTCTCTTGCTGTTGTTCGTAAGTACGCAACACTTCCTATATACGTATATATATTGGGGTTTACGGACTGTGGCGTGCCCTTGAGACATACTTCAGGTAACGGGGGTAGAGCCCCGATGACATCTGGAGCAGGTCTTCCTGAATCTAGAAAAATGTAAAGGAAAAAAAAAAAAGAGAGCCAGAGAGTTTGGGCAAGAAAATACCGACCAATCAGTAATGCTAGCGAATCAACCTTTCTAAGCACCAATGTAATGATCATTTCAAACGCACTGCTCAGTTAATTGAGAACCGTTCTGTTTACTGCTATCATCCAATCACAACCCATCTTTGAAACGAGGATGCGCCCCAGCCGATGCGCCCCAGCCGAGTAAGATCGAAGGACTGGTTACTCAGAAAAGCCACCCCGCGCAAAAAGCAAAATTTCGGCGCACCTCTTCGCAGTCGGAGTTTAACGTAATCGATTTTACATGGCGGACAGCAGTCCCCTTATGAATTGCTTACCCCCTCTTGCACGCGAAGATTTCCAACGTATTTTCCT